GAGACCTCATCTCTACAATAAATTTTTAAAAATTAGCCGGGCGTGGTAGCGTGCACCTGTAGTTCCAGCTACTTGGAAGCCTGAGGCGGAAGGATCGCCGAAGCCCAGCAGGTTGAGTGCGGCCACTGCACTCCAGTCTGGGCGACAGTGAGACTCCAACTCAAAAATAAAAAAAAAAAAGATATGAGGTACAATTCAGGGTTAGGTATACAAATGCTCATTATGCAGGTACCCTTGGTGACGAGGCATGACCCTCCCTCCCCTGGCAGTTTCCCTCAACTGCCAATCCTTTTCTTGTAGTAGTATGATAATTGTTCAAGTTGCTTGCGAGTGAGAACACATGGTACTCTGTTCTTTGTTTCTGTGATAGATCACTGAGTATGATCGACTCCAAATCCATCCGATTTGCTGCGAAGTCCATATATTTGTCCTTCTTTATGACTGCATAATATTCCATTGTATATGTGTACCACATTTTTAAATCCAGTCCAGCTTCGATGGGCAGCATGGTTGGGTCTGTGTTTTTGCTATTGTGAATAGAGCTGCAACAAACATGTGTGTGCAGGTATCTTTTTTGTAGAATGATTTGAGTTCCTCTGGGTATATTCTAAAAGGGGCCTTAATGTCATTTCTATGGCTTTTTGATTCCCAGTCTGGGAACCACCTTGAGGGAGTTTTCCTTTGGTGAGCCGAGGGGGTGGGTAGACTGGGAGTCCACATGGAATTGACATTCCAGCCCGCAGGGCCGGACAGGATGTCTGGACACTTTCTAAAACCTGCCTACAAGAAAGAGTGAGACTCCAACTCAAAAAAAAAAAAAAAAGAAATTGATCTATCTATGCCTAACCTGTACTAGCTATCCTGCATCAAATCCCACAGACAGACGCTGGTCACTCTTACGAGTACTGCCTTGCCTGGCTCTGAGAATCCCACAGTCCAAAGGCCACCAGCCTCCACCCCCTGCCTCCTTCCGCTGGCTTCCAGGCAAGGCTGGCCTGGGACTCACATTCAGCCAGAGCTACGGCAACACAAGGACAGCCCACTGGTTGGGCCCTGCTCTGTGCCTGGGGCTTAATTGACAACGGTATGGCTGAGCGACCACACACAGGTGACCGGGAAAGGTGGCTCACCCCCTCAATCCCAGCACTTTGGGAGTCCCAGGCAGGTGGATCGCTTGAGCTTAGCAGTTCGAGATCAGACTGGGCAACATAGGGAGACCTTGTCTCTACAAAAAAAATTCACTGGGCATGGTGGTACTTGCCTGGAGGCTGAGCCTGGTGACAGGCCGAGACCCTGGCTCAAAAAAAAAAAAGGAAATGATTTATATATTTCCCAAGAGAAGAGGCACCTGTGTCATGCAGGGTCCCAGGTTTGGTCAGGAGACAGAAGAACAGAGCTTGATTGAGATCTCACGGGAAAGGCTAGCCAGAGCAGGGAGGACAGTTTCACTGGGCTGTGGGCTACAAGGTGGTCTCTAATGGCCAGGTGGCTGTCCCTGGGGTGCTCTAGGGGCGGGGCAACACTGGCTGGGGTGTAAAAGTAAGTTAAAGAGGTGGGTGGGATTGGCTGGTTTGTACGTGAGAAGCTGGCTGAGTCCTTTGCTATCTCTCAGAACTGGCTAGTCCTGGGAGGCGACATCTCTCTCCAGGTCGCCAAGAACACACAAAATAAGAAAATATAACTGGCCAGGTGTGATAGCTCTTGCCTGTAATCCCAGCACTCTGGCAGACCGAGGTGGGAGGACTGCTTGAGCCCCGAAGTTCGGGACCAACTCGGGCAACGTAGAAAGATTCCAACTACAAAAAAGCAAAAATCGGGCTGGGCCTGGTGGCACACGCCTGTGGTCCCAGCTTCTTGGGAGGCTGAGACAGAAGGATGGCCTGAGCCCAGGAAGCCGTGGCCGCAGTGAGCGGTGATTGTGCCACTGCACTCCCGTCTGGGTGACAGAGTGAGACTCCAACTCAAAAAAAACAATAATAAATAAATAAATGAGAATACAGGTACTATAACTGGCCCCAGGACGAGGGCTCCTCCTCCGGGCCCAGCCTCCGCCACGCCCTCCCTGAACCTCAGGGCAGGGGAGCCCCGCCCTTGCCGTCCCGTTTGGGAAGTGCGGAGACAGGCACTGAGCGATCGCATCAGCGCCCGAGGTCACCCGGCGAGGCCAGGTTCGAATCCAGCTGCCCTCAGAACCTGGCTCCTGGCCTGCCCGGGCTCCTTCCGGAGGGGTGGCCTTCTGCGGCAGGCCAAGTGTGTCCAGCGCCCCGCAGGGAGCTCTCCA